GAAATTCTCGACGTGGAACCTTTGTCAGGCTGGGAATTCGATACACCGATGCCAAGCTGGTTAAAAAAAGCGATGGATCGACACGAAACATTAACAACCTCGCAGACAGATCCTTTAGAAAAATTAACTAGCAAAACAGTAAGTGATTAATGAATACTTTTCCTTTTTATTTGTGCAGGTCCTAATCAATTTCGTTATTTAGACCAATCTGGTGGCGAATCATAGACGCATCAGATCCGAAAATTGTACAGGATTTCATATCCGAAGAAGAATTTTCAGAACTTAATGCCATATTTTCAGATGTTCTTAATATTGGACATCAGAATGATTGGACAGTGTTAGAGCCTGTCGCTGAAAGATGTTTGCAATCTCTTGCAAAGGTAGTTTTTGACATTGAAGCATCTTGATCTTTAAATTATAATCTTAATTAGCATAATTTCGTTTCTAGCTGAATAATGAACAGATCCGTATGATAGGTGAAATGGTTAAGTATGAAGGAATACATGGGGCAGTTTGTAAACTTCGGAAAATAATCCAAAATATCGAAGAATTGAACATAGAAGAACCTGATCTGTTTGATGACGAACCCACAAATAATAAAACACTATCATTGGTTCTTGAAGAGAATGACTATCTTGATAAAGAGGTGGGATACATCTTAGAATTGGTTCGTTACACGTAAGTTCATTTGTTAAATTTCAGCTTGGATGCATACACAGCTTCTAATACTGCAATTCTTTACAATCAGATGTGAAATGTTAGACAAAAGAATTCCGCAACGAAAAAACTCCGAAAGGGACATAGATATGTTCATCAAAAGACACATTTTTGCTTGTTTCGACGATATTCTAGATACCCATTTGTATGTTTTACTATCATCCCTAATTACTTTTCATTATTGACAATACTGATTATTTCTCAAATAAGTGGAGAGATGGTTTCTAGATCATCTCGAGATCGACGAAGTGAAGCATCAGATGCCCCGGATAAGGTTGAAGGGTTTCACCTAGATTGGATGTTCACGGTATAATTAATCTTTATGAAGTTTTCATATTTTTTGTTTGATTACTAACAGATTCCTACATATAGAAACATGATCTTGGAATAGACATACCATATGGCCGAGAATTGTCCTTATGTGAGCGTGCAGGCTCTAAAGTAGATAACGACACCAAGAATTTTTCAGACATTCTTAAGGTTTTAAAAACACTCAGAGATATGCACAGAAGCCTAGTCAAAGCAATTGCTATCGAAAGTGGGGGAGCACTTTCAAAGCAAGTTTTAAATGCTTGTAATAAATTAATTATGCCCGGTTTCGCATCATCGTGGTTCTACTTTCGTGCTGTCCTTATAATATATGTAGGAGGTGGATTCTACGCATCATTTGAGTTGGGAAAGTTCGATATCCCTACTTCATATGATGAGATTTGGAAGCTAACTAAAATTGCACGCATTATGTTACAAATTAAGGTTGGTAACATCCCACAATTTAGACTTAAGATTTACACTCACTCTATTTTTTTTTCATTTATGACATGCAGAAACTGTTGCGTTTCACAGTTTCTCGATTCAAACGTATAATGGAAAGAGCTGAAAAAGAAAAGTTTATTCCCGGAAAAGTAACAATTATTGAAGCAAAGGAATCCCGCACACCAAAAAAGCCGAAAAAACCAAAGTCTGAAGAAGCATGATGTATTGATTATTACATATGATGACTTGTTGAAAAATATTTTACGACGTAAATTTCTACTGAGTGTCATTATTGTGCATAGCTTATAATAATCTAATTTTAATAAAAGTATTTGTTTTTCTCACATAGGAATAATATAAAGTTTGCGATTGAATTTTAATGCATTAAATAATTAATAGACTGTAAAAGAATAAAAACAAAAGACACGCGCAGTCATCTTCCAAAATAACATTTTATTTGCTCTTTTGTGAGAGGTGTACCAAACCAAAAGAATGCACATTTGTCTTAGCGTCTTATTCATACGTGCCAATACGTACCCCTATCTCGTTTGTTACCTACTAACAATGAATGCTATCTAGTACATGTATGTTCTGCTCAACAGATTAACGAACAAAGCAATGCATATTACAGATCAAAAATATTATATTTTTAAAAAGAAGCCGACAGCACTGATGAATCACGACCACTAAAAGTGATATACTGTAGATACATTTAATGACTATAATAAAAATCTACGCCATCAAGCAAAGAAAGAAGGAAACTATTTTGAAGAAATGTTTTTGGGCAATGCTATAGAAGAGGCCTGTAGATCGTTTAGAAAGCATCTTTCGGCTAATTAAAATTTTCAGAATGATGGTTTAGACTATTTTTTTGATTGGCCGATCATCTCGTGATTTATAGAAACTCGCCAGCGCCTGGAACATTCCTAGAACTATCGAGGAACTAGGGAGATCATATGTGATACAAATTTTATAGTTTAGTGGCCGGGTCTAATTTAACCTAATCTAATCAAAAAAATCTGCTTTCACGCGAACAATCGAATAAAAATGAATCTGATATTTTATTATAATATACTTGCTATAAATTACTGAAATTGCTATAAATCAGTGAATTTGCTAAAAACACTATAAATCACTAAAAATCATTAAAATTTACTAAAACAGTATTATGGATTTAGATAGTAGAGCCCAATATAAGCTAGTTTCTGGATGTAAACTTCGAAGAATATAGAAGAATATTAGAAGCATTATATCTTTTAGGGGAACAATATGATCATGAAACACCAGAAATGTAGTGCTCCCGTATCTGTGGTCTATTTAGAAAAATACTTGAAGAGAATCCAAGAATTCTTTCTGGGAATGGATACATTACAATGTGTGGAAAATTAATTGAAAGAAGTGATAGAGTTCATGGTCTTCCATCAAATTACATATATTGTAGTGTATGCGACTCCTTAGTTTTCATACCTGAAAATGGTCGTAAAGTTGATCAATATCGAGATGGCCACTTGAAGAGATGTATTGTTAGCAAAGCTAACCCAATCGAACATGCAAAAAGAAATGAAATTCTCCAATCTATTGATAGAAGGAAATTTCATATCTGGCAATATAAATAATACATATTATAAGAAGAGGCTAAAATTAATCGTCTTCGTCTAAAGTTTTCTTCCCATCTACGTAACACTCAGAAAAGAATAAATTAGCATTGATATCATATAATTATGATACTCGTTTAATCAGCTATGAAGCTTACCTTTCGATCAAGCAACTATAGTAGAAAATACGATACCAAGTGCTTTAAATTTCGAGCCAGCCTGTATTTCTATTATCTCTGGTAACCAAGAAGTGATTTCACCAACTTCTTATCAATCATTGAATTGCAAAAGCAATACAAGCGAAATATTTATCTCGTCTCAGTATATAAAACAAAATAACTTATTACCATTCACAAAAGGCACTGTATTAAAATTAAGAGATGAGACAAAACTCACGATTGTTTAACCAGTTTGACTGACTGGTTCTGAAAATATTTTAATTACTTTCAACTGAAATATAATTTATTTTTGTGCTATATAATCTGGATGATCGCTTGTGAAATACATCACCTGTAGACGCTATGCATAATCTGCCTATTCTGGATTAGATCTTTTAATCTATTTTAATAAAGTATTTTTTGAAAAATTCAGGAAGATTAATGAAGCAATCTTGGAGATTCTTGATTGCGAGACAATATAACTATTGGTTTGAAAATTTCTATGCAACAGTTATCCAGCAAGCTTATAGGAATTACAAGAAAAGACCCGAATCTTTGGCAAAATGAGTTTGGAAGACAGTAAGGAATGATGGTACTCCTAATGATATGAAGTTTTTAGGTATAAAAAATGAATCAGGATAACCAGAATATATTTGTTATAGAGATGAGGGATGTTGTTATCCAGTAAGAAATGATTGGATGTATAAGAAAAGAGCCCAATTATGGCAATGATTATCTTTTGTAACATATATACTTGTTAAGAAATTATTATATCAGCAAGACTATATAGTTGTTAGAGATACATATTGGCTTGACATGTTAAAATGGCTACAGAATCCTGAATATTATAGTATTCATAAAAAGTATAATTTTGTATACTTCATCAGAATTTTAAAATACGAGGCATATAAGATTAAATCATCAAAAATAAAACCTATATGTGATTCTCCATTAAAATACATATATCATATTTATGAAAAGCCGGGAAAGAATATTACTGTGAATTTCACATACTTAGATGATAATTGTGAGTTTGTGCGTTGAATTTTCCAGATCAGTCTTTGACCTAAATCCTGAATATTGTCTTAATAAAATAATATACTGTCCAGCTATACGAAGCGCCTTAAGGCTAATATATGTAGAAGAACAGTATGCGACATAAATAAAACATGTTTCTGATTCTCGTTAAAGTGTATATAATGTAATAAGTGATACACTGCAAATCATCTGTAATTCTGTGTGACTATTTGTATGATAAATTAATTTTCACATATAAGAAATCAATCCTAAAAAAATATTTTGAATTTTTTCCCTATCTAAATAGGCATTTATTTATGAGTTTATTTCCTTTTGGACTACAGGCTATTCCTACTAGATTTCGGCTGAAGTATATTTATATAATGTTATCAGGTCTTTATTACTGAGCGATCAGGCAAGTGAAAGAAAGAAAAAAAGTATATATATACATACCCTAACGTCTTTGCAATGTTGAGATCTACAATGCACATTCTGCATGTCTTATTCTCTAATATAACAGTTTAGCGTAAATGTCTCTCCTATCTCTTCCCCTAACATGAATGCGAGTTAAAGAAGACATAAATGAAGATTTAAAAGGACAAGTATATAGAAATAAAGTTATTCGTCACTTTTTATTTTTTTCAGCATAAATACTTATTTATTTACTAAAATTTATAATTTCTTAGTAAATGCAGAAGAGGAGCATATTATTGGTGCTTCCGTCATCTATCAAGGGATTAAAGACAACTCATAGATATCAAAGGATAAGTTGAGAAGTATTATATCTCAGGCAGTAACTCTCGCAAATAGTCAAAATGTTCAAGGTTCTTCACGTCATATAACTTTCCTAGAAATTCTTTCAGAGGTAAGTTGACAATAGCTTCCTATAAAATATTAATTTTGGATGATGAAGACGCAGTCAACGATGCCACTAAGGAAGAGGACATAATAGTTTAAATTCCCTATAGCCTGCTAACAGGATTTTCCTCAATAGTAGGAGGGTTCTTTAAGTTATATATACATGCTTAATTTTGTGTTGATATTTTAGCATTATACAAGATTTTTGTTTGCGTCATAGAGTAGCTAATCTCATAAAGACGAAATTTTGTTTACAATCTGACAGCGCATGTGCTTCTGAAAATAATATTATTTGTACAGGTATAAACTAATTACTTTATGTCTGCGTTAGTTTGACATTTCATATAAAGCTATTTTTAGTTTGCGAGCTATTAGAGTTGTAAAAGTAAACAAAAAAGAACCTCTTAGTTCAGCTCAAATCAGAAGCAATGTAAATAAGTTAAAATTTAAACTTAAAAAAAACACTTCAACTCTTTATCAACATTTGTTCTCAGTCATAAATCGGGTATTTACAGACAAATTAATATGAAAAGTTCCGCTGAGAAGTTAAGTTATTATAGATGAATCAGATATAATAAAGAAATTACCAAAATAATTACATAAAAATTTTATGGTAGGTATTCATTAAATTAATAAATAAGAAATGAAATTCTAATCCTAATCTATTATTAGAAACTTGCATGAAATATGGTACTTACTACTTTTTCAAGATTTATACAAAAGAAATATAACAATTTTGTACGAGATTTCGCTAGTCGTGACACTAATAAATTACCTCAAGCACTTTTACATGATGGAAGGTGAAAGGAATCAAATGAGAAGCTTACTGAAATCATTGATAGAATCTTGGAAACGCTGTAAGTTATTTTACTATTGTTAGATTGCAATTATAAGTATATTTATCTTAGAAGCATTAAATTCATTAGAAATAATTCTTAAAATAATTCAGCATTTAGTCCTGAAGAAGCTGAAGTATTAAATGAAGGAATGTATCTAACAAATTTGATAATTCTAGCAATTCAAGCTAGTTTGAAAAATCTCCTACATAGAAAATTCACCTATATTAGTACGTAAGTAAAATAATATTATTTAAGATGAACTATTATAAATTTATTTACATTATTTTTTTAGGTATGAGCGTCAGAACATAGCTAGTGCAGATAGAAGAAAATGATTGAAAAGACGCTTCGATATCATATTTGTAATGATGGATAGAGGGAAAAAATATGAACTTATATACAGAGTGTTCACGTCTATTTTGTACAGAACAAAAGATAAAAAATGATGCAGTAAAAATATGGCATGAGACTAACGATAGGATGTATTAGATTTATAAAGATCAGAAATCTGAAAAGGATAAATTTAGAGTAATTGGGTTGCAAGTTGCTAAATCTATGTTACAACTAACTATTCTTATCAGGGATGGAGCTAATATAGATAAATATTATCATTTACACGAGTCAAGAGTTCCTATGCAAAAGTTAGAACCAGCTGTTATAGCGAAATTTATAAAGACTTTATTAATCTTGCGTAATATTTTGATAGTCAATATATCCTTACTCTTTCACAGGTCTATACCTAAATCAGATAGAC